CTCAGGAGGGTGACCTTGACAACATATGTCAAGGTCAAAGTAATCCGAGCTGTGTTAGTTATTGTAAATAATTACCAAAATGAGATGCTTATATACAAGGTGTAACAAAAAGGTTGTCCGCTACTAGTGAATAGTACATATAAAAATAATGAAAAAAGTTCTTATTTAAAGTCAAAGAAGCAGCAGCGGTCGAATTCCGGCGAGGACTTGGATATGTGCTGCGTGTGCTCAGAGATGACAGAATAGAGCTGACGAGAAACGTGCGAGCGTAGGGCACATAAGTGTGTATGCTTTTCTTGTAATTATTTTCCGCCATCGTGTTTTAAATTAATGTTTCCATTTTTCCATTAAAAAAAATAATAAAATGTATCCTATCATTTTTCATGATTGGAATTATGAATTTTTATTTAAAATTCAGTCCGAGAATGGAGTAACGACTCCGCCCCGGCAATTTTAACATTTCAATTTTTGTACCTTTGTCGTTTTTACTCTATATCAGTTGAACAAAGTGACGTAGACCAAAAATGTATACCACATTTTACTAAAATTATTTGTTTTGTTAAAAATTGGCACCGAAAAAATAGTGACGATTTCGCTCCGGTCTTCTCTATTATTCATCCTTAAAGTAACGGACAACCTTTTTGTTACACCTTGTATAAGTATCAAAGATTATTGTCTTGACGATTAATAGAACCAAAACCAATGGTCGAATCGTCATGACGATTAGTCAATTGTGTGTGTGTAGTCGATTAAATAAATTTTAATTGTTTATTATTTGTTGGCGAAATAAAAATGTGCTTTCGGTTTAATCTTTTTAATTGAATTTTTTATTCTATGACATTAGGTGATGTACTAGCTGCTAGCGATGAGTTGAATCAAGTCTTTGAGAAATATACATCTGTTATCATCCTTGGGCAATTTCCCAAATCTTCTGCGACAGAAGCTTCTAAGTCGATTTACAATGAAACATCCCTTTTGGACCTATCGTCTCCTATTGACACTGTTCCCTGTAAGAGCAGTTTAAGCACGACGCAGGGTATATCATTGACAGATCATCGCTCAGATATGGATGTGCTAGGAGATATATTTAATACACTGGAGAAACCAGTCAAGTCTGAAACAAGTTTCTTGATGCCAAACACCATAATGCAACCAATCAGTATCTCGCCTATGAATAAAAAAAGTAAGCATAAATAATAATTGAAAATATTTAATACAAAAATCAGAGACTTATAAAATATTGAAGCAATTATATTCCCAGATAGCAAAGCGTGTCTGTGTGAGCAAAATCGCGCAAACCTGTGATTGCTTATGATGTTGGCAACTTGCCGTATATTTGCTTCAATTGATTTCGAGTAATTTAATATTTGAAGCAACACGCAGGCAAAATTGGATACATATATTGTTAGCAATTTGTCGGCAAGAGAACAGCGTCAAATTTACTTCGCGTTGCTAGCAATATGACAGCATTGTGTGATCCTATGAATTATTACAGCAACATGACAGCAACAACTCGAATTTTGAATCAGATGGTTTTAGATCGCAGCATAAATTGCCAACAAGTTGCTGGCAAGTTGCTATAAAAAATTGTTATATCGTGAAGGCATCAACTTGCCGACAAATGCGGACTCAATTGCCACAATTCTGGTAGCAACACTTATTATGTTGTTGGCAACATGCCAGCAACAATGCAGACACGTTCCTACCTGGGATGTTTTTTTTCATCTTACATTTATTCATTATTCAGGATGTAGCAAGATTCATGGGACAAATTTTAGGGGGTGGTAGGTCTCACCAAAAGAATCAATTTTTGTTAAGAAACTCGTGTAAATAAAATATGTGTAAATAAAATTTTTTAAACAGCAAAAATATATAAAAAATTAACATATGGACTAGTATTGTCAGACGTCATGCGCGATGCCGTCGTGATACCGATTGTTTATCATGTATCTCACAGGTGATCTGAACAAAGACATGTAACTCTTCAAGAACGCGTCAGAGGACACGGATTTCTGAACAAAAATTGATTCTTTTGGTGAGACCTATCCCCTAATAGTCGATAAATAAAGTAGGCCGATTTCTGCCGAAAAGTGTAATTATGCATGTAATCTTGTGTTTTTTTACATTCTTGTGTTACTGAATACGATGGTAGCATCCGTCTAAATCTGTGGGAAAATAGTCAAAATTTGCTTTAAAGAGGTCGAAATAAGTCACTTAAGTAATTAGAGCTCGGAAAAAGAATCAGGTATCCGAGTACCCGCCTGCTCACTCATTACCATTGTAAACGGATCTGGACGGATCTCCGATTCCGCGGGTACCCGCATCGTACGGGTATCCGAATTATCGAAGTAACCGCAGAACTAGTCCAGATTTGTATACAATGATAACGGACGAGCAGGTAGGTACTCAGATACCTGCGTATTCCGAGCTCTACTTTTAATAGTACAATAATTTTGACACTAAATATTTGACTAAAGAGAAACAGGAGGGAGGAATGTATCGGTAGTGAGAGATAGGCAAATCGCGGACGGAAGTACGTCAGGCAGCCATCTTGAGAGTTTACTTTTTTACGTTTATTAACGCAAAAAAATTGTAAATAAGTGTTAATTGTGAGATAAGAGCATTATGATGCACTATCAGACCTGTGGCATAACAATAACAGCTTAAATTATGGGATAATATTTTATAAGTTAATAATTAAAATCATCCAATTTTTGCGGCCATTTTGATAGGTCACTTTTTATGCTGAAATATATAGTCACTTCCGTCCGCTTCGCTAACACTAAATGCTCCCTTCTATTTCTCTTTACTCTTTGAATTCGACTAGTGACAATTTTGTTTCAAGTATTTAATTACTTGTATTATAGTTTATATAACTTGTATTTAGTTTTATAACTTTTTTTACTGAAGACACTAAATATTTTAAAATGGACGATAAATAAAATAGGATTTCTGCCTAAAAAGTGTAACGTAAGTTATATACAGGGTGTTTGAAAACTTTTAGTCGAAATATCTCGGGAATTAGTAATGATATCAAAACACGATTTGGAGAGAATGTAGGGGAGCAAGGGGGACATACTTTGATTTAAAAAAATTTGACTTTGGGTGGAGGCGTCAAGGTCAAATAAAGGTCAACTTAATTTTTTTAAATGAAAGTGATTTTTTAAATATCTACGTTTGTAGTTCTTCTTATTACGAGCTCAACGCGCTATGATCCAAAGTCGCCGAAGGTTAAATGACCAAATGCAGGCTCATAATATTATTGTCTTTTGTACATGTTATGAGACACCTTTTGCAGCTGCAGCTTGCGAATCGACAATGTTGAATTTATTGCAAAATAACCTAACACTTTCAAGTTGAGTTGCTTCATTCACTAATCTTTGCACGGTTCTGTTTTTCTTTGCTATTGATCCTGTTTCTTCAAATTTTAATATTAATTATTGGACGTAGGTGTGACTGACATTTTTTTTGTTTACTTAAACTGGTAAGTATAGTAAGTGCTAATTTGTACTACAAGCGTTAACATGGTGATTCCGCGTGCCAAACTAAGTCATCATGACATTGCCCATGTCCACGAACATAAACATGAACAGAAATAGAAGTCTAACAACAAGATCCGTTCGATTTCGATTTAGTTTCAATTTAGTAGAGAAGCTGCAACTGCAAAAGGTGTCTCACACATGTACAAAGACAATAATACTGTGAGCCTGCATTTGGTCAATTGACCTTCGAAGATTTTAAATCATAGCGCGTTGAGCTTGTAATGAGAAGGGTTACAAACGTAGATGTTTAAAAAATTATGTGTCCATTTAAAAAAATCAAGTTAACCATTATTTGACCATGACGCTTCCATCCAAGGTCAAATTTTTTAAAATCAAAGTATGTCCCCCTTGCTACCCTATATTCTCTCCAAACCCTGTTTTCGTATCTTTACTAGTTCCCGAGACATTCCGACTGAAAGTTTTCAAATTGACACCCTTTGTGTAATCTTATGTTTTTTGGGTCGTTGAATACGATGATAGTATTTTTATCCGTTTAAACTGTGTAAAATTAAAGATTACATGCATAACTTTTGTTTTACTTTTTAAGCAGAAATTGGCCTAGTTTATCCATCGTTCTTTGGGTAATTATGCAGTTTAGGGGAAGCACCTCCGATGACCTTGACCTTGACATATGTTGTCAAGGTCACCCTCCTGAGTGACCTTCAGAAGGTTTTAGCCGTCGCTCGTATTTTATTAAAAAGTTATTAACAAAAAAAAGTTTGGCGACCTCACCGATTTCAATGACCTTGATATATGTTGTCAAGGTCATGATCCCGAGTGACCTTCAGAAGGTTTTAGCCGTCGCTCGCTATTCGTTAAAAAGTTATTAACAAAAAAAGTTTGGAAAATATAGCATATATAGGTGCATATGGGGCATTCCACGCCAATTCGCAAGGAGTCAAACTTCGACCTTTTTATTTTTGATGGCTGCTCGTTTTTTAACAGGTCTTTATGAGTATTAGACTCCTGTTAAATCGTTTCTATAATAAATGTAGCGTTTCCGAAATAGAGCCTGCGCAAAATGAGGACTGCAAAATTTTCAATGAATTTTTTCGCCTATTAGACAACGTCTAAGAAAAAAATTCATTGAACATAAAATACGCTATTTAGATCATAGTTTAAAAAAAAAATTATCTCAAATTTTTATAATAATGATTTTAAACTAATAAAGTAAAAAAACACAAAAATTTGAATATCTCAAAAACCCCATTTTCTATTTTTTTGAAATTTATAGGGAATATTCTAGGGAGTATTAGAAGAATTTTAAGACCAGTTGGAAGTTGCGCAGAATTTTTGGGATTTTTTTATAAATTTTTTTGTGAGGCAGTAGTAATATTTGACTCACAAAAGTGTAGTTAAAAACGCGTTTTAGACAATTCTGAATTAATTTAGACATACTTTTTTACTAAAGCATGATAAAGGTCTCGGCATAGCACACGACAATTGCGATGAATAGTGTGGGAAAGGCGAAAAAAATAAATTTATGAGGAAGTTTAATTCAATAAGTACATTTGTTTAAGAACATATTATTTATAATTTTATTATTTTGTGCTCAGTATAATTATTCGAAAATGCGTAATCTTTAACAATTAATTTATAATTTTTGGTATGACTTGGTATGACGCAGTGGACACGTTGAGTCTGAGGTATTCTTTTTGTTTGATCGTACCGACCTGTCAAAAATTCGGCGGCGATTTCAAGTATTGGGACAAAAAAATTATGAAATTGCCGTCGAATTTTTGACAGGTTGGTACGATCAAACAAAAAGAATACCTCAGACTCAACGTGTCCACAGCGTCATACCAAGTCATACCAAAAATTATAAATTAATTGTTAAAGATTACTCCTTTTCGAATGATTATACTGAGCACAAAATAATAAAATTATAAATAATATGTTCTTAAACAAATGTACTTATTGAATTAAACTTTCTCATAAATTTATTTTTTTCGCCTTTCCCACACTATTCATCGCAATTGTCGTGTGCTATGCCGAGATCTTCATCATGCTTTAGTAAAAAAGTATATCTAAATTGATTCAGAATTGTCTGAAACGCGTTTTTAACTACACTTTTGTGAGTCAAATATTACTACTGCCTTACAAAAAAATTTATTAAAAAATCCCAAAAATTCTGCGCAACTTCCAACTAGTCTTAAAATTCTTCTAATACTCCCTAGAATATTCCCTATAAATTTCAAAAAAATAGAAAATGGGGTTTTTGAGATATTCAAATTTTTGTGTGTTTTTTTACTTTATTAGTTTAAAATCATTATTATAAAAATTTGAGATAATTTTTTTTTTAAACTATGATCTAAATAACGTATTTTATGTTCAATGAATTTTTTTCTTAGACGTTGTCTAATAGGCGAAAAAATTCATTGAAAATTTTGCAGTCCTTATTTTGCGCAGGCTCTATTTCGGAAACGCTACATTTATTACAGAAACGATTTAACAGGAGTCTAATACTCATAAAGACCTGTTAAAAAACGAGCAGCCATCAAAAATAAAAAGGTCGAAGTTTGACTTTTTGCGAATTGGCGTGGAATGCCCCATATATAGGTTAGTTGACGCGCTTTAAACACTTAAATACTTTTAAAGCGCGTCAACTAACCTGTGTAGGTTAGTGATCAACGATTTACTGCTTTAAATGTTGTGTTTTGGTAAAGCAGCGACTTTTTCG